TTGTGGTGGCACAGAGGGAACCTTCCCTCTACATGCTGAAGGGCATGTGGTGCAGAGCCCAGTCATTTTTAGACCTTGTCTGAAGGAAAATATCTTCCTGCCAGCTGAGCTCTTTTGAGATCTGGCCAAGAGGAGCCAAGTTTGGCCACCCACGTTGAACAGTAACTTGGAGTTCTCCAGGATGTTTTGTCCGTAGGGTGCTTCACCTCCACATGCGCATGTCCCCGTGCACTCTTGATCAGAGATTTTTGTCAGCAGTGTCCATGGGTCCGTATCATGCCATGTCCGGCTGTCAGATCAGCTGTGCATCAATGAGAAGCTGACATGAAAGCCGTGTCTTATGAAATCTTGGGCAGTGACTCCATAGTTAACCCTGAAAGATGGCTTCCAGTCAAAGCTGTTTTTCATATTCTCTTTGCACTTTCACAGAAAGGTTCCTTTTGGGCTGACATTTTCCATACTTAGTGTTAGTCCCAAGAGAATTTCTTTGGAAAGACTGAATTTCATTGAAACTGATATTCATTGAAAGACTGAATTTCATCAGTGTTCTAATAATTTGCCCACTCATGAATAAACAATGGGGTGGGGTGCAAAGTTCATATTGTTCTGAAGTAATCCTGACTGAGAGCTTATGCAAAGGCCAAATGCACAAAGGCGGGGTTCTCAGTTAAACGATATTTCAAAGGCATAATCCTTTATGTTGGTAGCTCTGGCAGGGGTTATTAATTAAAAAAAATATTTTTTCCTGGGTCAACTATGTATGTAAATTCTCAGAGCCTCCAAAAGTTATAACCGCTATGGCCAATGGAGCATGTAACTGCTATGTGCCCAACCATTCAGCCCTCTTGGGAGTTATAAGATCACTTGGAAGCAACAGAGAGTCCTGTGGCACCTTTAAGACTAACAGATGTATTGGAGCATAAGCTTTCGTGGGTGAATGCCCACTTCGTTGGATGCATGCAGCTGGCTCCAAGTTTCCAGAAGGGGCGGGGCCTTGGGCAGAAGGGGCGTGGCTGGGGGGGGGTCAGCCTCCCCCAGCCAGTCCTTCAGCCCTGCCTGGCCCATGCCGCCTGGGGCTCTGGAGCAATTTAAAGGGCCTGGGGCTCTGGCTGCTGCTGCGGTAGTGGCGGCTGCGAGCCCCAGACCCTTTTAAATCGCCCGGACCCCGGGGCAACTGTCCCTTTGCCCCCTCCCCCCAGCAGGCCTGGGGTGGGGGCAAAAGGGGCAGTGGCAGCGCTTTAACATCGGCTGTGTATGGGCCCGTACTGGCGGCCACTTCTTACTGGTACACCGTACCAACTCTGGCATCACCTCACGCAGAACTGGGAGGAAGCTAGGGGGGTTGGGCCCCTCAGAAATGCTGGGAGGGGGAGGATTTAAGGTAAAGTTCATGGTTTATTGTTATAAATTCTCCTGATCTTTCCTTAGTCTCTATCCTTTGTTCTCTGTACCTAATAAAGCTCCCCTCCTTGTTGCATGGCTACGTTGGGGATTGTGATAGTGATGCTATCCCTTGGGTACTGGGCTACACGCCTAGCAAACTGTTTGGTAGCAAACGTTTTCCAAGGGCCAGCACCCCTTGTGCCCCAAGTACTAGCAGAGGTCCTCCTTGGCTGGAGCCTTGAGCTGCCAAGAGAAAGAATCCAGGACCCAGACCCCCTGAGGGGAGAAGCCACTCCAAGCAGCAAGGAAGAGGGCAAAGGCTTGAGCCACGGCTTGGGCGAGGGACTATGTGCAGTAACACGTCTCTGCGCAGTGCAATGCTGTGGTGCCCTGGAGATGTCTTGCAAGATGCTCTGCTTCTGCTGGGAGACAACCCTGCTATTAGCAATGTATTGTGCTCATGAACTAATCACATTCAACAGCGTTACTCTTTTAGAATTCCTTTCAGAGTGGATGCTGCATGTGGTGACCCATCCTGCCGTCCACAGCAGGGCCTTGGCCTAGGGAATTGCCAAGGACTGGGTTCCTCAACCACAGGCCAGGGAGGGGAGGGCAGCCTATTGTGGTGGGAGAGGGGGCTGTACCAATGGGATGGCCTGCAGCTTGGAAGTAGGGGAGAGATCAGCTTCTGGGCTGGAGAGCAGCTGAGCCTCCAGGGGAGGGGGTACCATTCAGACTCCAAGGTGGTAAATAACATGAAGAGAAGGTTTGTTTGACAAGCTTTTTTCCCCATAAACCTTGTTGACTGGCATTAGTTCAATTCCCATCCTTTCATTCTTTATCAATTGAATCCCATGTCTGCTCTTCCACTGTTTCGCTCAGGCCTGATGTCAGGCTAACTGGACCACAGTTACCTGGGTTATTCCGCTTGTCCTTTTTGAATATTGCTACCTTAACACTCTTCTGGAATGTCACCAGTATTCCAAGATGTATTAACAATTAATGGGGGGTGAGGGGAATTTCAGGGTCTGCAACATTCTGTCTCGCTCTGCACTTCTCTGTATCTCTCTCAGTCTTTGTTCTCAAATAGATAAAAGTTCATCTGTATTCTCTCCATCTCGGCCTCTACGGATCCCTCCTGCTGGCTTCTGACAGGTAAGCCTGACTCTACATGTCTGCCAATACCAACTCTCTGCTTGGGCAATACTTGATGTGTACACTGTACCTCTGCAGACACATCATCATCTGTTGTAAGCACTTTCGTAATGGCTTTCTTCAAATGCTTTTGAGAGGTCTGTGGTCAGATTGTATGTCCCTTAAGGGCATTGGTGTATTTTTCCATTGCAAGAGTATTGCTAACAATTCTTTTTCAATTTGAGCAGATCTCTTCTCCATCATGGACAATGTTCTCCTTGCAAATGCAACAGGTTTTCCCCTTGGCAGCAAGGTATCCCCTAGACCCATCTTGGATGCACCACGTTGCAGTTGCTGGGGTTCCTCTGGGTTGTAGTATTTCAGAATGGGAGCCTTCCCAATATCTCTTTTACTTTCCAGAATGCTTGCTCATGTTGGTCTGTCCACTCTCATAAGGAGTCTCGTGTCACCTGTCAGGATCATGAATCTCTCAGACAGATGGTTGCAAAACTTAGCTAAATAATTGACCATTCCCAGAAATCTCTGGACTCCTTTAACATCCCTGGATTTTGGTATTTCTCTAATTGCCCTCACTTTTCCTGGGTCTACTTTCAGGCTTTTGTGATCAACAAATGTCCAAAACATGGCAACTTGGTTACTCTCAACCGGAGCTTCCCTAAGTTCAATGTAATGTTTCTCTGTTTAATTAATAGTCATTATCTTGTTATGCTTGTTCTGGATTGTCACCCGCTCCCACTGTCAGCACATTGTCTGCTACTGTCCAGAGTTCCAGCAGGCCCTCCAATGCTTGGGTCAGTCTGCTCTGGAATACCTCTGGTGCCAGACTGATTCCCATTGGCATCCTTAAGCATCGGTACATCCCAAATGGCGTTGCAAAGGTGGTCATCTAAGTGGATTCTTCATCCAGTTTGATGTTCCAGAATCCATTTTTTAACATCGCATATTGAAAACAGTCTCACTTGAGACAAATCTGGTAATATGTCCACAATTGTAGGCAGAGGGAAATGGTTCCATTCTAAAGCTTTGTTTAAAGGCTTTGGATCTATGAATATTCATATTTTTCCAGATGGCTTTCTTACCACCACAAGTCTTCTTATCCAGTCGGTGCTCTTCTCTACAGACTATATACTTCCACGATTCTGTGGGTGCCACTGTTCATCCTTCAGTGCCTGTAGTAATGCAATGGGTACTTTTCTTTATGGCAATTTAACTGACTTCACACTGGTGTCAATCTATATTTTATAATCACAGTCTAGCCATCCATCACCCTGAAACATGTCTCTATACTTCCTCTGTATCAGCTTCTGGACCCAGGTGATACCATCCAAGGTATTTTCAGTCACTCTACTATCCACTTTCATTAGTTCTGGAAATGTGCTTTTATCAAGTTCATGGCTTGGG